TTCTAATTGGCTTACTGGTTGTTTGACTTCATTCTTCATTTCAGACTGAGTATTCTTCAATATTTCTAACTCTTTTCTGAATTCATGCAGAAGTTTATCCCTATCTTCCTTCAGTTCTTTGATTTCTTTTTTTGTGTATGTGTGTTCTTTAAATTCACTGAATTCTTTTATCCTGTTTATAATTGTTCTTTTGAGTTCCATGTCCTGCATCATCTCTAGGAGGTTCTCATTGTACTCCTAAGCTTCCGATTCTCTCTTTTGATTTTATATTGGAGTGGCCAGATTGCTTTTGTCTTCAGGAGTTCCACAGAGGCCCAATTCAGATGAGGGTCAGATTTTTTGAGGCTTTCTCCTGAGTTCTGGATCCTTCCAGGAACCATTTTGGCCTCAGGAATTTGGGGGTTGGACTGGCCTGGGAACCTGGCCCAAGAAAGATGCTGGTGTAGGGCAGCTGGTGGCAGTGCCACCCAGAGATACAAAGGCGGATGGGGCAGGAAGAGGCCCCATGGACTCCTGGGGACTGCACTGAGGAGCTGGGTTGATCCTGGAGAGAGGCCTGCAGGTAGGCTCTGGGAAAGGTTTTTACAATGATACTACTACTTAGATCATCAGAGTGAAAATTCAAAGTACTCTGAGGGAACAATATTGAAGACCCTGTTCAAAGAATCATTATTTTTATTTTATGCGTATGTATGTAAGTGCACCCATGTTGTGCAATGCCCACAGAGGTCAGAAGAGGGTTTCAGATCCCCTGAAACTGGAGATACAGTTGTTAGCCACCATGTGGATGCTGGGAATTGAACCCGGGTCCTCTGTAAGAGCAGCCAGTGCTCTTAGCCACTGAGCCATCTCTCCAGCCCTGTTCAAAGAATGAAACACAAGAAACACCGCTATAATCTCCATCTGATTTTGTGTCCTAAGAACTCTAGAGTTTGTCCTGCTCTGGTATTTCCAATAAAGTTGACAAAATTGCTTGAGCATCTACTAAGTGCCATACTATAGAGCTGACAGGTGAGGAAAACGGGGCCAGTTTCAAGATAGAGACAGGGAGCCCAACAGATAAGGGTGGAAGCTGGTCCCTAATCTCACAATGCTCCTCTGGTATCTGTCAGAATGGTGTGGCCTGGGCCTGGACACTGGGTTTTATACTGTGCTATTCTCTAAACTAGAATCAGGATGAGACTTATGGAAGGTACAGTGGGAGCTCTCCCAACAACCTACAGCTCTGGAATTTTCTTCTGTGCTTTTCAAAACCTCTGTGACGGGTGATAGCCACCAAGCATGTACTGTGTCAGATGTATAGACTCACACTCATAACCCCATAAAAAGAGAGATGTGGTCACCACTTAGGAGGTTGAGGCAGGAGGATTGCCGTGAGTGTGAGGCCAGCCTGGGCTACGTAGTACATTCCAGGCCAGACTGAGCTACAGAGTCCCAAATTAAAACAAATCAAATCAAATCAAAAAGATGTCAACAACATATTATTCCCAGGTTACATAAAGGCAGCATCAAGTCACTTTGTGTAACTCAGTCTGCAAGTGGCTGAGCTGGGATTTGAACCCAGGGCTGTATGGATCCACAGAGGAGTCTGTAGCATCTGAGATGGACTTTAAAACCTTAAGCCTCCTGCAAATCTGGAACCTAAGGGCAAAAGCCAAGGCGGGGGGCGGGGAGCAAGATAATAAGATGACCCAGTGGGTAAGGATGCTTGCCACCAAGCTTCCCCAGAGTTGTCCTCTGACTTCCACAAGCATGCCCACATGCATCTACACACTCACATTAAAAAAAATATATATATATATAATTTACAGGCTTGGCGTGGTGGCGCATGCCTTTAATCACAGCACTGGGGAGGCAGAGGTAGGGAGATCTCCGTAAAATGGAGGCCAACCTGGTCTACACAGCAAGATCCAGGCCAGCTGGGACTACAGGGAGACCTACCTCAAAAAGGTCAAAATAAAAACATAATAACTTAGAAAAGCAAAATTAAAGCAAAATAGGCTCTTGGTCCCCTTCTACAGTCGGGAAAACTGCAAGTGGCAGTAACTTTCCCAAGGTGGCAGGAGAGTAAAGGCACGGTCTGAATGCGCGGCGGGGTCTGACTGCAGAACGTGGCCGCCTCGGTGCCTAGCGTTTCTGAAGCACCGCCCTGCCCAATTTCAGCGTTTGTGGGTTAAGACCTAGGCGTCCGCTCCGCATCTAGGAAAACGGTCCGGAAACTGAAAAGATGCAAATTTTAAAACTCAGGGAGGAAGAGAGAACAAAAACGGGCGCAAACGCCAAAACCAGGGCTGAGAAGTGGGAACTGGGGGTGGCGCGGCGGCAGCCATCGGCAGTCTCGTTCACATCCAGAGGAACTGAGGCACACGAAGCCGGGAAGGAGCTCTGAGGGGAGAGGACCAGGTCTGGGAGAGAGCGCCTAGGTTTTTGGCATCTGCTCCTCCCACCTGCAACTCGACTCCGTCCCCAGGCGCTTATTGGCTGATGCAGGCACGCGACCAACACAAACGACAGCCAATGAGGGCGGCCCACGGCGCGTCTCTCCCGAGGAAGCCGACGCCGGAGCGAGAACCCGGAAGTGCGAGGGACGGACAAGTGGGGTGAGCCAATCCGCGGCGGCGAGGGCGGCAAGCCGCCCAATGGAGGGGTGCCAAGGGCGGGGCCAGAGGGCGCGCCTGCGGCGGCTGCGACGATAGCAGCGGCGGAGCGGGAGCCGCCGGGAGAGCCAGGCTCCCGCGAGCGGTGAGCAGTGGGCAGGCCGCGGGGCCCTGGGGGTGTCGGCGGCGCAAGTCTCGGCAGGGTTGCAGAGGGACCTTGCCGCAATCCCTCCGCCTCCCCCGGCCCCAGTTTCCCCCCTTCTGGGAAGTGAAGGGTGGGCGACTCGCTCCTCCGGGAGCGCTCCGCTTCCTCTGACCCTCGCCCCCCCCCAGGCTTGGCTGAACGCCTCCCTGCTTTACAGCTCGGCCCAGGTACCTCTCTGGCCTTCGGGCACTTGTCCCAGCCCATCACGCCAAGCACTTTCAGATGTTCTGTGGCCACGGTCGGGCACCCCCATAAGACTTCAGCGCGGTGATTAGCCAGCATGCTGGGCCAGAGCCTCTGCATAGGCCCCACTTAGTAATGAGGTGGAGGTAAGGCCCCGCTGCCCTGGAGCAGACTCCCTGGGATTTCAGTCCCATCAGTGCCTTGGCGTCCCTCAGTGAAGTGGAGCTAAAAGGTAGCTCGCTCTTCCTTCTCAGAGGGGGCACTGTAAAACTTAAATGAGATCATGCAAGGCCAACAACCAGACCAGTGCCCAGCCACCATAGTTGCCCAATAAATGCTTATTGTTGGCATGCCTGACCCCTCCACTCCCCCTGCCAGCCCCAAGCATATGTGGGTCTTCACTGAAGTGGGGCACCACTTACTGTGGCCCAGGGCTTGGGTTCCCTCTGAGATGTTCAGCTGTCTAACTTATCAAGATCCATAAGGGACAGACCAGGACAGGAAAGCCAAGGGGCACAGTACTGTGGGCCTTGAGGCAGCACCCATGTGACCATGTCAGGCCACTTATCAAAAAATGGGGCTCAGAACTGCTACGGCCAGTGTGTGTATATAATGTGATGTTCCAAACACTGGGTGTCCATTGGAGTGCACCCCAGTGAGCTTCAGAGCTGAGACCCGCCTGAGTTCAAGTCCAAACACTCTTGTTTGCTGGGCGACTTCACCTTCATGAGCCTAAGTTTCCCCACGTGGGGGACAGGGTGAAAAGGTCAGCTCCTCTGGCTGCTAAGATCATGGAAGTTAATACATGTGAGGTGCTTAGTGTGGGCCTAGCATGTAGAAAGTGATCAGTAAATGCAGAGTGGCAACAACATGACATTCTGTCACATTGTCCTGACAGAGCTAGGGATTAGGGTTAGGGACTCCTTCCAGGCTGGCCTTTCCCCCATTGAGACCCGCTCCTTGCCTTCCTTCTCGCTAGTCCCTAATGAACTAGGTGTGACGATTCTCCAAGCCTGTCTCCCCATCAGGGATCAATCATGTTACTTGAAACAGTTCCACTCCCCTGCCTTATCCTCTACAATGCTCCATTCCTTGCAGATTCTGCTTTCTGTGATGGGACATGTGCTCAGGGCCCAGCCCTGAATCCAAATGACACTCATGCCGATAGCTTCAGTGGTAGTGGTGGCTGAACCCAAATGGGTCTCAGTCTGGGGCCGTTTCCTGTGGATGACGCTGCTCAGCATGGCACTGGGGTGGCTGCTGGCCCTGCTACTTCCCCTGGGTGCTGTAGAAGAGCAGTGTCTGGCTGTGCTCAAAGGGTTCTACCTGCTCAGGAGCAAACTGGACAGGGCACAGCATGTGGTCACCAAGTGCACAGGACCATCCACAGAGCTCAGTGTCACCTCCAGGGATGCAGGGCTGCTGACAGTCAACACCAAGGCTTCTCCAGGTAAGCACACTGCCCATCTTGCCTCTTAGTTGGACAGATGAAGAGTGCCTGCTGTCTTGTGTGTAGGGCAAGGGGGTGTTAAGGTAGCAGGGCAGCCCTGGGTTCCCAGCCTAGCCAAGCTAGCAGGTGTCTGAGAACAGGTTATTACAGTGTATGATGAGCTGGGAGCACAAAGGGCAGGAAGTGAGGCCTGAGCTAAGTCCCAGCTGTGAGTGGGCATGGTCCAGGAGATGCACCTGAGGAAGAACACTGGGGAGAGAAACCAGAGGGGAGAAGTTGGAAGACACGAGTTCAGGGAAGCTGAGTGTGTGCTGACCCTGGATAGCAAGACAGAGCTGGGAAAAGAGGCCCAGGTCCAGAGTGGGGTTCCCCTCCACCAGAGACAGCATTCTTCCACTACCCATTGGATACTGGCAGCACACTTCCCCCGGTGGTGGCATCCAAACATTATCTGCAGACATTGCCAGATGTCCCCTGGGGGTTGCAACTGGACTCACTGGGTTAAAAGTCCAGACTGGGGCTTGTGGAGCACATGCTTGGTATGCCAAGGCCCTGGGTTCCACCCCAGCACTGCCAGCAAACAAAAATATAAAACATTCACAGGATGGAAAGCCTGCAGGGACCAGCTGAATGGGAGGTGTTGACACACCTAGGCCTGAGAGGGAGGGGTCAAGAAGAGGTAGGAGGGGCCACATGCAAGGAGCTGTGGTCACCGGGACAGTGCATAACCAGAGCAGCAGCACTGCGGGGAGAGTAGTCAACACCCAGACCTTGTGTGTTATGACAGCAGGTGGGTGGCAGGAGAACCTAGCTGGTGCCTCCCAGGGTAGAGTGGCTCAGGACACAGAACAGTGACCATCATTCCACCACACAGGGCTGTGAGGAAGAGTGGTACTTGGTATATTGTGTATTACTGATAAGACTGGTGGTTTTCCTGGGAGACCGCATGGGGCATTTCCAGAGTGTCTCCTGCAGTCAACCCACCTGATCAGGCCCCTTTGACTCTCTTCCAGTGGGGAAGCTGGAAGCCAAGGCAGCTCTGAACCAAGCCCTGGAGATGAAACGCCAGGGCAAGAGGGAGAAAGCCCACAAGCTCTTCCTACATGCCCTCAAGATGGACCCTGACTTCGTAGACGCACTCAATGAGTTCGGCATCTTCTCGGAAGAAGACAAGGACATCATCCAGGCAGATTACCTGTATACCAGGGCACTAACCATCTCGCCCTTCCATGAGAAAGCGCTGGTCAACCGGGATCGGACGCTGCCGCTTGTGGAGGAGATCGACCAGCGATACTTCAGCATCATCGACAGCAAAGTGAAGAAGGTCATGTCCATCCCCAAGGGGAGCTCAGCGCTGCGCAGGGTCATGGAGGAAACCTACTACCATCACATCTACCACACAGTGGCCATCGAGGGCAACACCCTCACCCTCTCAGAGATCAGACACATCCTGGAGACCCGCTACGCCGTGCCAGGGAAGAGTCTGGAGGAGCAGAATGAGGTGATTGGCATGCACGCTGCCATGAAGTACATCAACACCACCCTGGTCTCCCGCATTGGCTCTGTCACTATTGATGACCTGCTGGAGATCCACAGGCGGGTGCTGGGGTATGTGGATCCAGTAGAGGCCGGCAGGTTCCGGACGACCCAGGTCCTGGTGGGACACCACATCCCACCTCATCCCCAGGATGTAGAGAAGCAAATGCAGGAGTTCACACAGTGGCTTAACTCTGAGGATGCCATGAATCTGCACCCCGTTGAGTTTGCAGCCTTAGCTCATTACAAACTGGTGTACATCCACCCTTTCATTGACGGCAATGGAAGGACCTCGCGCCTGCTGATGAACCTCATCCTGATGCAGGCAGGCTACCCACCCATCACCATCCGCAAGGAGCAGAGGTCCGAATATTACCATGTGTTGGAAGTTGCCAACGAGGGTGACGTTCGGCCTTTCATCCGCTTCATAGCCAAGTGTACTGAGACCACGCTGGATACCCTGCTCTTCGCCACCACCGAATACTCAGTAGCGCTGCCAGAAGCCCAGCCCAACCATTCTGGCTTCAAGGAAACACTTCCTGTGAGGCCTTAACCCTGCCAGTCCTCCCTTGGCGACAAGGAAAGCCAGGGGGATCAAACAGCCTTCTAGAAACCTAGTTATCTTCAGTAGCAAATGGAGACCTTTAAACATTCTTTACCTCCAAATGATTTTTTTAGCTGAAAAGAAAACTAAATTATTAAGCCTTGTCTCTAAGATAATTTATAGTTCAGCCAAGTTATTTATTTCTTTTTGAACAACCTGGCAGGGTCACGTGGGGTTCCTGTGGCTACTGTGCACATAGTGGTCCCAGCACCCAGTAGGGGCAGCGATGTTCTTGTATGTCCAGAGCCCAGGTTCTGGACAGAACTTGCACTAAAGTCGGGGGAAGGGCCAGAGCTGTCATTTCTCTGAAATGACCTCAAGGCCCTGACTACAAAGAGATTGCTGCACTCCTGGGCAGATCCAATGGACATATGTCTGTGTGGGTTTGAACCCCACTCCTGGTACCAATTACTGTATTAGTCACTTTTCTGTTGCTGTGATGGAAACACTGACACAAGCAATTTATAGAAGGAAGAATTTATTTGCGCTTACGGTTCCAGGGGAATTACAGTCCATCTTGGTGGGGAGGCATGGTGGCAGAGGTAGCTGGAGAAGAGCGGAAGCTAAGCTCTGCATCTTCCAACAGGCACAGGAAACGAGGGTAACTGGAGATCTGGCAAGGCTTAAGAACTGTGTAAGCCCACCCTCAATGATGTGCTTCCTCCAGGATAGCCACACCTTCTAAAACCTCCCAAAACAGTACCATCCATCTGGGGACAAAATGTCCAAATACTTGGAGCCTATGGGGGACATTTTCATTCAGACCACCACACATCCCATTCTGAGACATGGTCGAGAGCTGCTTTTTGAGGTTTTCACTCTTAAGAGCCTGGGGTGGCAGCTTTTCCTGGCAGAGCAGTCTTTTGACATTTCCAGTGGGAGACCTCACAGGTTTCCAGGAAGCCCCTTTGAGCCATGGCTTGTCAACTTGAGTGCCAGGGGCTTTTCCTGTGAGACTTTTTCTGTTTGGGGAGGGGGGACAGCCAGCTTGGTTTTCTCTGTCAGCATTTCTCCTGTGCTTTATTTACAGCAACTTTGGAACAACAGGTTTTAATTTTTTTTTTTTTTTTTTTGAAACAGGTTCTTACTCTACAGCCCTGACTGGCCTGGTACTTACTGTGTAAGCTGGCCTCAAATTCAGAGATCCGCTTGCCTCTGCCTCCCAAGTGCTGGGATTAAAGGCGTGCATCACCACACCCAGCCCAGATGTTTTAATCTAAAAGTTTTACCCACCAACTATGTCTTGACACAAAGCCAGGTCTGCCTTTGCTTCTGGCTCAGTTTCCTGTGGGTAGACCCTGAAGAGTGTATTTGAGGGGGCTGCAGGTGTGGCTCAGTGTAGAATGCTTACCTAGACGTACCATCCCCATCACTGAGAACATATCCAAGACGCCAGATTGGTCCCAAACAAGTGGTTCTGATAAAGAATTAAAACCAAATTAGGGCGGGACTCCAGCCAGGATCAGCCCTTTTGTCCTGGAGTTTTAATCCCTCACTGCCCCCCCCCAACCCCATAAAGCATTTATAGTGGCTGGCATCCCCCTAGGAGAGGCAGAAGAGACTGCCTCCGAGTGGCCTTATTTTTTTAGCAACTTGTAAAGTGGTACAGTGCCCTGTGCAATATGGCCAGGTTCCCAAGTTGTCATCTTAGAGAAGTTAAAGCTTCTCTTCAATCATGTGGGCAAGTGCCAATTCGACTGCTGCTATTTAGAGTCAGAATGGCTAGAAATCATTGGATGTCACTCCAAGGACAGAGACCATGGTGTCCAGCATTGCACTGCACTTTGTCACTGTTGGAATGATGGTGAACTCAGGTGTCAAATCTCCAGACTTAGGTGGTACCTACTGGATATAGCAAGTGTTTAGAAAGTTACTCAGTTGTAGTTTTCTGAGGTTAAGGAAAATAAAATGTATGCAATGGCTCCCAGTGAGTTCTGCAAGCCTGCATCAAGTTCTTACGCTGTGCTGTGCACCACTGGAAGGAGTGCTCAGCCCTCAACTCCAGCTTGGTTTTATCTGCACACCAAACCTCGGTCCTATAGTGAGAATCTGCACTTTAGCTGTATATGAAGAATATTATTTTAACAGATTACTGGTTCTAATAAAGTATTTTATTACATAAACATTTGAGGTTTTGTTGTCTTGTTTCAAGGATGTTTCCCAAGCGCATCTTGAGGCGGAAATGGATCCAGAGCTGTTGCCCTGCTCTCATTCTGAAGGTCTGATAGTCATGTCAGCGGGCACACAAGACAACCCGTTCAGAAGCTGCCTGCCTGGAGTCACGGGGATGAGTTTTACTCATTTTTTTTTTTTTAACCATGTGTGGCATGTATGATCAGACGACAACTTGCTCAAATAGGTTCTCTCCTTCCACCATGTGTATCCTGGGTTTGAACTCAGGTCGTTAGGCTTGATGGCAGGCACCTTAACTGCTGAGCCACCTTGCCAGCCCCAGGTTTTTAATGTTTACCCAGATTAAAAATGGTTTTGCATGGTTCTCTTTATCTTTAGTTCTTGATTTTTTTTCTGGGGAAAATGCATACAACCCACCCCAGTCATATGCTCCTGGAAACCCACTTCTACAAGAACCAACACCTAAACCCCCTTAAAGTGGGTCCTGCTGGAGTATGTTAAAGTGCACCTGTCGTGAGCCCTGTTGAGAACTGGTGGTACCAACTACCAATAAGAGAACAGGATAGTTCCTGTGAGGTGGCCAGCAGGAGAGCCACAGGAACCTGCAGTGGAGAGCAGCTCACAGCAGACAGGCCCAGGGAGAACTGCCACAGGGAGCCCTGCCGTCTACTGCTCCTCTGTTTTACCTAGAGGTGATGCATACAAAAAGAACTTTTCGTTTTATGTAAAAGAAAGGTGGGTGGAAGGAAACATATTTAAAACAGCATAATGATCATTTACACGGAGGGAAAACTAACATCAGACAAAAGAGTCAAGATCTGGCTAGGTAGTGTAGTGATGCATTGGGTATCTCTGCCAATATTTTTTTAAGTCCTCTCAGCAATGCTGCTGCAGTGCTGCTGGGGAAGTGTGCTGATGTCTGCAAAGGAGTGGTGGCCAGAAGCTAAGTCAGGCGGGGCTGAATGCTGGAAGCACCAGGATGAGCACCCAGGGGACTTTCAGTTGTGTCTACAATGTGATCTGCAAAATTTTCTGTTAAAAATGCAAGCTAAGCCAGGCATGGTGGTGTATGCCTTTAATCCCAGCACCTGAGAGACAGAAGCAGGTGGATCTCTGTGTATCGAGGCCAGATTTATGTAGTGAGTTCCAGGCCAGCTGGGACTACAGAGAGACCCTGTCTCAGGAAAAAAAAAAAAAAAAAAAAGGCAAGCTAAAAACCTTAGGGCAGAGCCAGTAAAATGACACAATGGGTAAAAAGCACTTGCCAGGGAAACCTGATGACCTGAGTTCCATCCATGGATCACATGGTGAAAGGAGAACCAACTCCGGCAGGCTGTCCTCTGACCTCCACCATCGCACGCGTACACGCACAAATTTTTAAAATGTGCTGGAGAGATGGCTTAGCAGGTAAGAGCATTCATTGCTTTTCCAGAGGACCTAAGTTCAATTCCCAGCACCTATATCAGGGAGCTCACAACTACCCAGCTTCAGGGGATCCAATGCCCTCTTCTGAACTCGGTGGGCACCTGCACACACATGGACATAAAAATGAAAGTAAATCTGTTTTGTAAATTGATAAATATAGGACTCAGGATGTAATACATTGTGGAGACTGGCCTGGCATGCATGAGGCCCTGGGTTCCATCCTCAGCACCTAAGAAAGAAGGGCAGGAAAGCCTGGCTGATGCACAGAAACTTACACACACAAGAGAGAGCTGATTTCCATTACATATAAAAGAATTCCCTGATGTTTTTCTTCAAAGTGCTTTATAAAGTAAGCCCCCCACTGAACTCCCAATGCTGCTTTCAAAGTAAGAACTTGACACGTAAAAAATCCTGAAAGCTGATGTCAGACTGCTGTTTCCATCACTGCTAAAATCATTTAAATCAAAGTGACAATAGGATTTGACTTACAAAAGCTCTATTTACATACTACTGATAAAGCAGGGACATTCATGTCAAAATACACCTACTCATGAATGAATGCACACCAGTACACCGGGCAAGGCTTTGTAAGAGCTTCAGTTTAATAAACAAAGCTAAATGGAAGAATCTCCACTTTGCACTGGACACGGCATTTCAACAAAACCAAGGGATGAGATTCAAGTGTTCAAAGGACACAGTTCTCGAGTGGCTAGGCAAAGAAAATGGTCCACAGTGGGTGGCACATACAACTCCTATATAAAACAAATGTTTCAGACATTCCACTCTCATGAAACATGGAATAGTTGTGTCATTTACAAATACATAATAGAAAAATGCACAGCCTCTTTGGACAAAAAAAAAAACATCAACTATCTTCTCCATGATACCCCCATCCCACCCCTTTACTAAAATAGGCCATTCTGTGAGCCACCAGCATCTGCCGGTTCATCTTTTAAAATTAAGAGTGATAAGCACATGTGCCACACGGGGGAGAGAAGTGTATAAAAAGGGCCAGAGGTGGTGTGAGCACTGGGACAAGGGGGCCTCAAAAGCCAGGTGTCCTCACTCTTTAGGACCCAGAAGTATCTCAGGCCAGCCTGTAGAGCAGTCAGCCCCCTGCCCTCAATGTGAGGGAGTACTTCTCACCTCCAGACTCAAACCCACTTTCCTTTCCTGTCTACACCAGAGCAGAGTCTGCAGGAGCCCAGGCCTGCACCCGGCTTGACTAGCATGAAGTAAGGCATTTCCCATCTCTCAAGAGTCCTGTTCACTTTCTCAGAAGCAACTTGGCAAAATCAGCATTGGACATCTTGGGTGCCTCAGTGGCCATCGAGGTGGTGACTGCTGGGCACGGAGCAGGGCCATTCTCAGCCTGAGCAGTAACACTCGGGCGCTGCAGAGCTCGCGGCAGCAGGGAGAGCTGGGTCCTTCCCTTGCCACGCCTAGAACAAACACAAAGTGCCCCTTTGAAGCAAGGATGCCTGACCCCCAGCTTGACTGAAAATGGATTACCACCCAGTTACAAGATGAGAAATGATAGCAGGACTGCCATGCACTTGCCCAGCTGCATGAGGCCCTGAGTTCAAACCCCATACCAAGAAAAGAAAATGCAAGAACGGTCAGGCTGTCCTCTGGCCAGTAAGTGAAAAAAAGCACGTTGAACAAACTGCCCTGTCCCAAGGCTGGCAATGAGTGACCCCATGCCAACAGTCACAGGGATGAAATGGTTGCCATCCCTCAGACCTCACCCAAGAGCCTCCCACTTTGTCAGCTCCTTCCTATCAAGTTACTAGGATAGCTTCATAGCTTAGCTCCCACTGTAGACTAACAAGCTACAGGTTCCAAGTTAATCAGCAAAGGTAATCACTGCCTTAAAGAGAGTTTACCTTAGCTGCTGGGCTTACCTATAGTCCTTGCCTGTAGTCCCAGCTACTCAGAAGGCTGAGGCAGGATGATCCTAAATTCAAGGCCCTGTCTCAAAAATTTTAAAAAGCTGAGACTGGAGCTCAGTGGTAGAACATTTCCTAGCACTTGCAAGGTCTGGGCTTCTGCCCCAGTCTCACCAAAAAGAAAAGATTTTATCTTAAACAATGACAAGTGTAAACTGGGAAACACCACGCCATCAGATCAGGGCCCCTTCTCTCGTCTTCGTTTTTAAGGTGTTTATTTTATTTTCTTATTTTTTAACTCTCTGTACATGTATGTGTCTGTGTGTGGGTTTGTGCACATGAGTGCTGAGCCAGAGTTCCAGGCTGCTGTGAGCTGAGCCACCTGACATGGGTGCTGGGAATTGAACTCAGGTCCTCTGGAAGAACAGCATGTGCTCTTAATCACTGAGCCATCTGTCCAGCCCCAGGGCCACTTCTCTTTAGATTTGCTCTCACCTTGGCCCGCAAAACCAGAGATCACATGCACAGCAACAGGCCCTAGCTTTTCAGATCTAACTCACTACCCCTCCAGCAATGACCCCTCCCTCAGCACTGGTCATAACATGTCTGCCCAGAGCAGCAAGCAAACACTTACGCTCCATACATCTGTCGGGGCACCATGGGGCCCCCTGGTGCTCTCCTCACTTCTGGCTTCTCTGGAACTTTCCTCTGAGGGGGATTACTGATTGCCACTTTGATGACATTCTCTTTGATAGTCATGCCATCCATCTTCATCACTGCCTGTGACGCCTGGGACTCATTTTCAAATTCCACGTAGGCCAAGCCCTGAAAAGAGCCAATATCCACAGCCAGGTCAGACGCTCTGCACCCAGACAGTTCCCTCCCACTCGGAGGGCCTGGCTTCCTTAGGAGAGCAGCACGCCTGGCAGGATGGACACCCATCAGTGGTCACCCCCAAATAGCACCATCCTGGCTACAGACTTATTCCTGGCCCCACTCTGCTTTCCCTGTGGCTGTTACTGACTGGAAGGTCAAAATCCCTCTCTGGGTTCATAACACCTTGTATGAAAGAAACAGGCCAATATAAATGGAAAGAAAACTGAGGAGGACAGGACACAAACTGCCTGAAGGGCCACTGCCTCTAGAGTGCCTTTGGCCTGCCTTTCCCTCAAGCTCTCAGTGTACGTGGGCTGGGCCTGAGGGAATCCAAACAATGTTTAAAGCACCATTGCTCAAAATGTGATGCAAAGGGGGTCTATCAGGGATACAGGGGAGACAGGAAGAGGAGGAAGGAAGTCCATGGGAGGACCCAGAGAACTGGCTGGAGCCCAGCCAAGAGTCTGATGATGGCAAAGTGACTGCAGTATAGGGCCCTGTGAACTTTGACAATTTATGTTCCTAATGCTGTAATCTTTCTTAGCATAGTTAACTACAAAAGGTCAGTATGATTCCAAAAAGAAGTGGGGCCAAGTATGCTGATCTTTTAGTCAACTGTCTCTCAGCAGAACTAGGAACCCACCCTCCTGAACAACACAGACCCAAGGTCTGCAAGATGACACTGACCTTTGGCTTGCCAGCCCGGTTGGTGACCAGCCTGAGGTCCTTCACAGTGCCATGAGCCTTACAGATGTCTTCTAGTTCCTCTTTGCTGCAGGAGAAGGGCAAGCCTGAGATGAACAGTTTGTGTTTCTCTAGGGTGGTGCTGTACCGGAACACCTGTAGGAAAGGCAGAGAGAACCCACGGTTCCGATGGGCAAACTGCAGCACCACAAGTGCAAAGCCAGGCAGCCCCAAGCCAGATCTAGACTCAAGACAAAAGAACCTGGTCAAGAAACCTAACTCCCGCTTTGGTGAAATAGCTGGATTAAGTGGCTGTCTACTGAGTGCAGGCAAGGAGTTGCTCCGGTCACACTCCTGAGCACCCAACAAAGAGAGCCATCTTTATTCTATCAATAACTTTATTCTCATCACTAAATCAAGCAGGGCAGGCTTAAAGAGAGAGTTAGACTGGGGTCCTCCTCAAGCTTCGCTCCTGCCAGCTCACAGATCCCATGCAGGTTCCAGGCACTGCACACTGCAGGGGCAAAAGCACTGCCTGTCCAAGCAGCCCACCTAAAAAACATTCTTTTTACTAAAACATACCTTAAAATCGGGGTTTTTGCTCTTATCCACGCAAGGGGAGACAAACATCGGCCTGCCTTCCACATTCTTCCTGTCCAGCTCCAGGGCCTGCAGAGCCGACTTCTCCTCTTTAAACTCCACGTAGCAGTACCCTCGGAAGTCCCCCCGGTTGCTGAAGATGGGTCTGATCTCCACAACCTCCCCACAGGTCTCAAAGAGCGGCCTGAGCTTCCCCTCTGGCTCGCCCATGGTGTAGGGCAAGTTGCTGACAAAGACAGTGACACTGTCCTTCCTGCTGTCATGAGCCACCCTGGGCATGTCCCGCTTAAGGGAGGCTGCCTTCTCCTTCTGCTTGGAAGGGGGAGCGACGTCCACGGTTACACATTTCCCAGAGAGGGCTGTTTTTTCCTCTATGACTGAAGTTGCTCCAGCGGAGGCCACGCTGTTCTCCACCCTTCTGCGTTTGGATGGCTGCTCTGCAGGTTTAAGAGAAGCAGAAGCAGTTACTTGGTTACGCATTCCTTCTGGCACAGAACTTTAAATGTAGGCATGTACTTCCCACCACAGACTGTGTACAAGGAGGGACAGACACCATGCCCACAAATGTGCGGGCCCAAATCACACTTGAGGAAAGGGGCTACATCAATGAAAATAAAAACAAATCCCCACTGTCCAGTCCTAATCACACAGAAGGCCACACGTCAGCAGAGCTCAGACCCTTTCTCCAACAAAGCCCAGGTCAGCTAGCAGGGGTGGATCGTGGAAGCTGAATGGAATCCTGCCCTCAGGTGATAGGTGACATAATCCACAGACCCCCACACATACTGAAATGTCGTATACAAAGGGTCCCTTTTCTAAAACACTTTCAACACTACCCAGTGGCCTCTGGCTGCATCCATCAGCAGCATGGTCCAGCTGGCCTGGTCCCCTGCTCTGGCCTCCACCGCTGCCCCAAACTGAGGGAGACTCAAGAGACAAGGCACACAACATACAACATTCAATTTTCAAGTGGCTCTTTAACAGAGTCACTACTAGGAGAAATGGTGACTAGGTCTGAGGACTCTATAGCAAGGACAGGTACGAATCCTTACGAGCAGTCTTGAAGACGCTCATTTGCAAGCGCTCGCCCTGAAGCCATGGTACAGCAGAAACATTCTACACGTTGCTTGTGCGACTCTCTCCTACGTTTGAGATGTTACCTTCCTCCTCCTCGCCCCACTCTTTCTCATCCTCCTCATCTGCCTTGCGTTTGTCTCCACCTCTAATCTTCTTCTTTTTCAGAGCTTTCTTCTCAGCCCGCACCTTCTTGCGCTGTTCAGCTTTCTCCTCTTCCTGTTGCACAAGGGCTGCTTCCTTCTCTGCAGCCTAGGAAAGTGAGGACAGGACATCACTGGGCGCCATGATTACAGTGACTGCCTGGTTTGTGAGGAGATGTAAGACTGAAGGGGAGGGGTAGAAACTTATCACCCAACAAAAGATCACAGAGGTGGCAAAGAGGAGGCTCCCACCTGCCCCATTCCCAGTGCCTATTTTGCAATATCCTCAATTGTTACACACCATGAAAAAGAAAAACCAGTCTAGAAAGCTGGGCCCTGTCCTAGTTTCATATCTGTGGCTGGGATAGAATACTCTAAAAAAGCAACTTGGGGGTGAAAGAGTTTATTCTAGCTCTAGTTTATTCTAGCTGCAAGTTACACTCCACTGGAAGTCAAGGGGGCAGGAACCTGAAGCAGTGAACCACACCCAGCCAGGAGCAGAGAAAGCGCACTCTTCCGCTGGAGCACTCTCTGCTGGATCGCACCTTTCACAAGGCCCAGGCCCAGTAAATGGTGCCGCCCACATTCTGGATGAGTCTGCCCACCATAATTAATCCAACTAAGAAAATCCCACAGGCATGCCTGCAGCCAACTCAAGCCAGACAATTCCTTGCCACTCTCTTCCCAGGTGATTGTAGATAGTGTCAAGCTGACAATTAAACCATCACATGCCCTGAGCTAGAGGCGCTCACTCACCTATCACTCACAGGCCTACTGTGGCTTTTTTTTCTATTATATTAAACTCTGAGAACTTCATGCATGTAGACAATGTATTTTGATCAAATCCATCCCCAGTCTTCCCCTCCAATTCCTCTCGGATCCCCACTACCACATCTCCCAGCTTCATGTAGTCTTTGTTTTAAAGTACCACTGAGTCTAACTGGTACTGCTGGTATGTGCATGGGGGCCATCCAGTGGAACCCCTCTCTGAGGCTTCACTTTATTCATCTAACCTGGTGAATTTGGGGACCAAAGTTCCAAAACTATATTCTTATTGTTGAAGTTGAAAGTTTTAAATGAATCTAAAAGATGGCACAAGTTTGAATACTGATCAAAATGTTTTAACATCTTGAGAAAACTATACTTATGAAGACCTGATAGGTTCTGACAAGAAATAACCAGAGCAAATAGAGCCAGAAGACTGGCCTCTCCCTGTTACCTTCATTCTCTGCTCATTAACACGAGCTAAGCGAGTTTCAGTTTTCTGAATGGCCACGTCCCAATCTTCCAGCGTTCCTGTAGGGGAAGAGAGGCAGACTTTCACACCTTTGATTTGAGGGGTGTAACAAGGTCCTCATTTCCCACACCTCCAGAACTTCCCTAATCACAACTGCATAGTCAGCTCTCATCTTAAGACAATTTTTCTCATTAGCCTTGAAGTTTGCAACTCAAATAGTCCTGGGTTGTCTGTGTGTTCTGCCTCCTTCCAACAACACTAGAAAGCAAGAAGACAAACTTCCAGGCTCTCAAGGGCAGAGATCATAAAACATTCTACTACAAAATGCACCAGGTATTTCTGCTGAAACTGAGGCACTATGAGAGCTCCTCAAATTAGGGAGCGTCTCTGTTCTGGGGGTCTGGTCTACAGAGCTTGGTACTCCTTCCTGAATCCAGACAACCCCCACTACCTCCTAGTGCTTCTGCAGCTTAACACCTGAGTTTCTGATCTGACAAGGGACCAGACCGTGCCGAGAAGCTCCAAGTTCCTTCACAGTGCAGACACTACACTAGAGCAGTGCTTCTCACCAGGGCTCTTTCTGGTCAAGATTCACTTGGCAATGTTGGGAGACATGTCTAGTTGGGAGGGAGGAAGGGAGGGTGGGAGGGAGGGAGAGAGGGCTACTAACAGACAGAAGCCAGGAGTACAGAGATGTGTCCTGGGCATACAGGACAACAGACCCTGACACTGAGAATTGTGAATCACCCTTGCCAGGCTCTGTCACAGAGCTCTTCCTATAACCAGACAGCATTGCTTCAGGAGCACTCACTCCTACACAGGCAAGCACCAACTGGGGGGCAGTGGCCACAACCACAGTCTGTCCTTAGAGACTGATCAGATCCTCCCACTGAAGATCACAGCCAAACGGCCATGTTCCAAGCCAGAAGCAAGAAAAGGGTCCACCTTCTGTCCTCTCCATGGTGAGCAACACCTCGCAGACATGCTCCGGGTAGTCGCTTGTGCACTGGACAGCGCGGTGCAGAGCCTTCCGACAGTGCTGCGCGTCACCATGCGCCCTAGGGCAGAAAACAAAGAGCCAGTGCTGACACGTCAGCACAAAGCAAAGGTACAGGGCAGGGCTCTCTTCTGAGGTAGATGCTCTCAACTTCAGGAGACCCCAGCTTTCAGAAGCATCTTTTCTCCTTGTGCCATGAGCCTCTGCAGTCACAAAGGAAGGCTCCTTCAGCCAAGCAAGTGCACCTGGTTAGCCCACCCAGGACAGCAGCCCCCTTTGGAAGGGTTTTTGGCCTTTACTGCACTGTGCAGCACACGGGAGAGAGTTGCCCATCAACTGGATGTACTTTGACAAACTTCCTAAAGAAATCTGTACAGTCCACCAGAGGGGTTTGGAAACCACTAATCCAGGAGATGGTCAAATTCCATGCAGAGATCTCCCAACATGTTAAGATATGCTAATCACATTGGCCAAGTATAGACATAGTGTAAATATGTATTGGCATACTCAAAACACTAAAAGCACTGGTTCTCGAAGGATGCTCCACAAACCAAGACCTCAGGAAGGCTGCAAGGTCAGAAGTCCCCTCATAGGAACATCCAAATACTCTGGAACTTTCCCCATGGCATTGGCATGGATGGCACAAAAGCAATAGTGATCCAGTGCAAAGCAAGGCAGTACACACCTTTTCAGCACTGAGTGACAAAGCAGAAGCACACACAAGTGTCTTGCGCATGCTGAAGGACAATGTATACTGGGAAAGGCGGTGTGCTGAGCGGCAAGCTGAAGCGGTGACTTTTTCATGACATCTTTCCTTGACAGAACAGCTAAGTAACCACCTACGCTTATTCAGACTTGAGCATTAGGCAGATATTTCTGAAAACCAATGGAGTCTGCCATTTTAAGGGAGCCCACAGACTACAAGTGGTAAAACCTGAGTTTCCAGGTGAACATAGGAATTTTGGAAAATGTGCTTTCACCTCTCTGAGTCTGACCCACTTAGAAGACTAGTGAAAGTATAAATGCTTTTATGCTGTAGAAGGAAATGTGTCCACATGTGGAAGAGCGATATGATTCAATGAGGAAGAATTTTCCAGATGAACAATAACTGTGTCAGAGCAGATACTAACTATGCAACAGAACCGAAAAGCTCACTGGCCTGGCATCAGATAGCACATTCCATCTGACCTTCCAGAAACTATCACTTGAGTTCTGCTGCATTTGGAAGAATATCCACAACCATCGGAAAGGAAGTGACTGCGTCTTTCTTTCCCACCTTGTTATCTGTCCAAGGCCACATTTTCTATATACTCTTCAAAGAAAACTATAGCCCAGCGGGAAGCAGAGCAAACACAAGAACTCACTCAGCTGTCTTCTATTAAGACAGATTGCAGAGATTTGCAAAACGGTTAGACTATACCACAAAATTAATTCAGGGCTTAGAAAATAGTCATTTCTCAAAAAAAGAGGGATTTATGTTAGATGTACTGATTTGTCACCTTTTTAAAATAAATTAATTTTAATTTCCAAACATAGTAAATATTGACATAACTCACATTAAAAAAAAAAAAACTCTTAAAAGTGTGGGAATCGCTGATTTAAAGGTATATCCACCAAGCTTCAGTAGTAATGATCTCTAGGTAAGAGTATAAGAAACTGTCACTGTCTAGCACATATTTTTGTGTGTAGTCTATTTTAATTTGGGCAACACTTTTTAAACATAAGGAAAATAACCAAGATATTTTCAAAAGAAAAAAAATATAGAAATACTGTGAACTTACAATGCTCAAGGTACACTGAATAAAATAGTCAAGCCAGGTATGGTGGCTCACACCTGTCATCTCTGCACATGGGAGGCTGAGGCAGGAGAACCGCAAATTCTAGCCAGCCTGGGCTGAACAGTGAGTCTCAAACTTAAAAGAAGGAACAAGGTAGAAGGAAAAAAGGGAAGGAAAGAAGATGGGAGAGGAGATTGGGGGGGGAGGG